GCGAGGGACATTTGGGACACTGAGGGACATTGAGGGACACCGGGGGACACTGAGGGACCTTCAGGGACAGTGGGGGACATTTGGGGACACTGAGAGACATTGAGGGACCCTCATGGACACCGGGGAACACCGAGGGACACCGAGGGACACTGGGGGACATTGAGGGACACTGAGACATACCAAAGGACACTGAGGGACACCGAGGGACAATAAGGGACAGTATGGGACAATGAGGGTCATTGAGAGACATGGGGGGACACTGAGGGACACCAAAGGACACTGAGGGACCCACTGGGGGACATTCAGGGACACTGGGGGACACCAGGGGACACTGAGAGATACCAGGGGACACTGAGGGACCTTCAGGGACCCTGGGGGACATTTGGAGACACTGAGGGGACACTGAGGAACACCGGGGGACATCGGGGGACACTGAGGAACAATGAGGGACCCTGAGGGACAATGAGGGACATTGAGGGACACTGGGGGACAGGGTGGGACACTGAGGGACCCTCAGGGACATTGAGGGACACCGGGGGGGCACTGAGGGACACCAGGGGACACCGAGGGACAATGAGGGACACTGTGGGACATTGAGGGACACTGGGGGACACTGAGAGATACCGGGGGACACCGAGGGACCTCCAGGGACTCTGGGGGACATTTGGGGACACAGAGGCACTGAGGGATCCTCAGGGACACTGGGGGACACCGAGTGACAATGAGGGACACTGTGGGACATTGAGGGACATTGAGGGACACCGAGGGACACCGGGAGACACCGAGGGACCCAGAGGGAACCTCAGGGACACTAGGGGACATTTGGGAACACAGAGACATTGAGGGACCCTCAGGAACACTGAGGGACAACGAGTGACAATGAGGGACACTGTGGGACATTGAGGGACACCGGGGGACACCGAGGGACAACGAGTGACAATGAGGGACACTGTGGGACCCTGAGGGACACCGGGGGACACCGGGGGAGGCCCCGGCCGCCCCGCAGCCCCGGCGCTCACCGGGACGTGGCGCAGCAGCCGCTCCAGGGCGCTCTGCAGCTGCGGCTGCGGCCGCTCGCGGAAGATGTCGGAGCCCAGCAGGTCCCGGTAGTGCTGCAGCGCCTGCCGGACCCGCTGCAGGCAGCGCTGCGGGCGCGGGGGTCAGCGGGGGGGCGGGACCCCGCCGGGACCCCCCGACCCCCGAGGGCATCCCTGGGACCCCGCCGGGGGCTCCAAAGGCATCCCCGGGACCCCCAGAATCCCTGAGACCTCCTAGGGCATCCCTGGGACCCCGCCGGGGGCTCCAAATGCATCCCCGGGACCCCCGGGACCCCCAGAATCCCTGAGACCCCTCTGGGAGCTCCAAATGCATCCCCGGGACCCCCGGGACCCCCAGAATCCCTGAGACCCTCTAGGGCATCCCTGAGACCCCGCCGGGGGCTCCAAATGCATCCCCGGGACCCCCGGGACCCTCAGAATCCCTGAGACTCCTCTGGGGGCTCCAAACGCCTCCTTGGGACCCCCGGGACCCCCAAGTTCATCCTAAGCATCCCTGGGACCCCCGCGACCCCCGAGGGCATCCCTGAGACCCCTCCGGGGGCTCCAAATGCATCCCCGGGACCCCCAGAATCCCTGAGACCCTCTAGGGCATCCCTGAGACCCCGCCGGGGGCTCCAAATGCATCCCCGGGACCCCCGGGACCCTCAGGACCCCCGAAGGCATCCCTGAGACCCCTCCGGGAGCTCCAAACGCGTCCTTGGCACCCCCGGGACGCCCAAGTTCATCCTCAGCATCCCTGAGACCCTCAGACATCCCCCGGGACCCCCAGAATCCTCGAGACCCCTCTGGGAGCTCCAAACGCATCCTTGGGACCCCCAAGACCCCCGAAGGCATCCCCAGGGCCCCCAAGTGCATCCCTGGGACCCCTCCGGGACCCCCAAGTTCATCCTAAGCATCCCTGGGACCCCCGCGACCCCCGAGAGCATCCCTGAGACCCCTCCGGGGGCTCCAAACGCATCCTTGGGACCCCCAAGACCCCCGAAGGCATCCCCAGGGCCCCCAAGTGCATCCCTGGGACCCCTCCGGGACCCCCAAGTTCATCCTAAGCATCCCTGAGACCCCCAGACATCCCCAGGACCCCCAGGATCCCCGAGACCCCTCTGGGAGCTCCAAACTCATCCTTGGGACCCCCGGGACCCCCAGGACCCCCAAGTTCATTCTCGGTATCCCTGGGACCCCCAGACAGCCTCAGGACCCCCCAGACGAAACCCAGAGCATCCCTGGGACCCCTCTGGGACCCTCAGGTTCATCCTCAGCCTTTCTGGGACCCCCAGACGTCTTTGGGACCCCCCAGACGAACCCCAGAGCATCCCCTGGGACCCCCCGGACACCCCTGGGACCCCCGAGTGCCTCCCCAGGACCCCCAGACACCCCCGGGACCCCTCTGGGACCCTTCAGGGACCCCCAGGTTCATCCCCAGCACCCCCGGGGTCCCCCCGGGCCCCCCCGAGCCCCCGGGCCCCCCGGTACCGTGTGGTTGCTCTCCAGGCTCAGGGGGTCGCAGGCGTCGCTGCAGCGGATCCGGGGGGGCCAATTTTGGGGTTCGTCCTCGAGCAGCTGCAGCCCCTCCTGCAGCAGAGAGCGGGGCCGCGCCCCCGTGTCCGGTACCGCGGGGGGGCAGCGAGAACCGGGGGCACCGAGCACCGGGGACACCGAGCACCGAGCATCCCCGGGGGGCACCGAGCACCGGGGGCACCGAGCATCCCCGGGGGACACCGAACCCCCCCGGGCCCACCCCCGCCGCGATGCCCCCGCGTCTCCCGGTGCCTCCCGAGCTCCCCGGTGCCCCCCGGTGGAGCCCCCCGGTACTCTGGCTGAGCCCCCCGGTGCCTCCCGAACCCCTCGGTGCTTCCCGAGCTCCAGCTCCCCCCGGCCGAGCCTCCCGGTGCTCTGGCTGAGACTCCCGGTGTTTCCCGAGCCCCCCGGTGCCTCCCGAGACCCCCGATGCTTCTCGAGCCCCCCGGTGCTTCCTAAGCTCCCCGGTAGCCCGGTTGAGCTCCCGGTCTCCCTGGCGGACCCGCCCGGTCTTCTGGCTGAGCCCCCGGTTCTTCCCGAGCTTCTCGGTGTCCCCGGCGGAGCCCCCGGTGCCTCCCGAACCTCCCGGTGCTTCCCGAGCCCCCCGCTCTCCCTAGCCGAGCCTCCCGGTACTCTGGCTGAGCTCCCCGGTGCTTCCCGAGCTCCCCGGTGCTTCCCGAGCTCCAGCTCCCCCCCTGAGCTTCCCGAGCTCCCCGGTACCCCCGGCCGAGCCCCCGGTACTCTGGCTGAGACCCCCGGCTCCTCCTGAGCCCCCCGGTGTTTCTCGAGCCCCCCGGTGCTTCCCGAGCTCCCCGGTACCCCGGTTGAGCTCCCGCTGCCCCCGGCCGAGCTCCGGTACTCTGGCTGAGCCCCCGGTTCTTCCCGAGTTCCCCGGTGCCCCGCCGAGCCTCCGGTGCTTCCCGAGCTGCTCGATGTCCCTGGCGGAGCCCCCGGTGCCTCCCGAACCTCCCGGTGCTTCTCGAGCCCCCCTCTACCCCCGGCCGAGCCCCGGTATTCTGGCTGAGCCCCCCGGTGCTTCCCGAGCTCCCCGGTACCCCGGTTGAGCTCTCGCTGCCCCCGGCGGAGCTCCCCGGTACTCTGGCTGAGCCCCCCGGTGCTTCCCGAGCTCCCCGGTACTCCGGCTGAGCTCTCGCTGTCCCCGGAGGAGCTCCCCGGTACTCTGGCTGAGCCCCGCCGTGTTTCCCGTCCCCCGGTGCCTCCCGAGCCCCCCGGTGCCTCCCGAGCCCCCCGGTGCCTCCCGAGCCCCCCGCACTCACCAGCACCGGGTGCGGCTCCCTGACCGTCCCCAGCAGCCGCGAGAGCTCCCGGGACAGGACCCTGCAGGCGGCCCAGTCCGGTACCGGTACCGCTGTCTGTCCCGGTGCCTGTCCCGGTGCCGGTGCCGGGGCGGCGGGAGGCGGCGGCAGCAGAGCCAGCAGCAGGCAGAGGCGGAGGCGGCGGAGCGGAGCCATCGCTGCCCGGTCTGTGCCGCCACCGGCGCCGCCACCGGGCTCTTATGGGGCGGCGGCAGGTGGGGAATCCCGGGGCAGGTGCTCCCGCCCCGCCGAAAGCAGAACCGATACCGGGCCGGGGTCCCCGCGCTGCGCCCCGCCGCACCGGGACGGGACGGGACGGGCAGGAAAACCCGGGGCAGTTCCTGGCGGCACGGGAGGCACCGGGACCGGCACCGGGACCGGCACCGGGACCGACACCGGGGCAATCCCTCGGTTCACCGCTCCCCGGTGCCGCCGTGTCCGAGCCGGTGTTCCCGGTTGTCCTCTCGGTTTCCCGGTTGTCCCCGATATTCCCGGTATTCCCTGTTGTCCCCGATATTCCCGGTGTTCCCGGTGTCCCCGGTTGTCCCCGATATTCCCGGTATTCCCGGTTGTCCCCGATATTCCCGATATTCCCGGTGTTCCCGGTTGTCCCCGATATTCCCGGTATTCCCGGTGTTCCCTGTTGTCCCCGATATTCCCGGTATTCCCGGTATTCCCGGTGTTCCTGGTGTCCCCGGTTGTCCCCGGTATTCCCGGTGTTCCCTGTTGTCTCCGGTATTCCCGGTATTCCCGGTGTTCCCGGTTGTCCCCGGGGACCGGCACCGGGACTGACACCGGGGCAATCCCTCGGTTCACCGCTCCCCGGTGCCGCCGTGTCCGAGCCGGTGTTCCCGGTTGTCCTCTCGGTCCGGCACCGGGACCGAATATTCCCGGTATTCCCGGTATTCCCGGTTAGTCCCCGGTATTCCCGGTGTTCCTGGTGTCCCCGGTTGTCCCGGTTGTCCCCCGTATTCCCGATATTCCCGGTATTCCCGGTATTCCCGGTTAGTCCCCGGTATTCCCGGTGTTCCTGGTGTCCCCGATATTCCCGGTTGTCCCGGTTGTCCCCGATATTCTCGGTATTCCCGGTGTTCCCGGTTGTCCCGGTTAGTCCCCGGTATTCCCGGTGTTCCCGGTTGTCCCCGGTATTCCCGGTGTTCCCTGTTGTCTCCGGTATTCCCGGTATTCCCGGTGTTCCCGGTTGTCCCGGTTAGTCCCCGGTATTCCCGGTATTCCCGATATTCCCGGTATTCCCTGTTGTCTCCGGTGTTCCCGGTGTTCCCGGTATTCCCGGTGTTCCCGGTTGTCCCGGGCCGTGCTGCCGCAATCTTGGCGGCTCCGGCGCTTCCCGCTCCGCCCGCCGGGGCTGCCCCCGGTTTTCCCCGGCACCGGGCGCGCCGCGGGCACCGGGGATGGGCCGGGCACGGGGGGAGCGGGCGGGGACAGCGGGGGACACTGAGAGACACCAAAGGACACCGAGGGACATTTGGGACCCCATGGGACACTGAGGACATTTGGGACACCGGGGGACAATGAGGGACACCGGGGGACACGGTGAGATACCAAGGGACAGCGCGGGACACTTGGGGACACTTGGGGACATCTGGGGACACTTGGGGACATTTGGGGACACTCGGGATGCCGTGTGACCCCCAGGGGACATTGTGAGACCGCCGTGCACGCTGTGTAGGAATGCCAAGGGACACTTGGGGACACTTGGGGACCCCGAGGGGTGCCAGGCATGTCCCAAATGTCCCCGCGCTGCTCCGTGACACCCCGCAGGATCTCGTAGGTGACCGGGGACGCTGCGTGACACCCGTGGGACCCCACAGGCCGCAGCCGCCGCTCGGCTCGGCAGCGCTCGGGTCTCCGAGAGGCTCCGAGAGGCTCCGAGAGGCTCCGAGAGGTTCCGAGAGGCCCCCGGTGCCCCCGGTGCTCCCGGTGCTCCCGGGGCTCAAACCGGGGCTCCCCCGCCGCGAACCAGCGGATTGCAGCCTTTTTGTCCCGTGCGGCGCCCCGTCCCTCCTCTCCCCTTAGTCCCGCCTCCCCCCAGCGCTGATTGGTCGGCGCCCGGCGCTCTGCGCTTCCATTGGCCGGCGGCGCGGGGCGGGCCCGGCGCACCGGGCAGGGGGCGCGGTTGCCGTAGCGACGGCGGGAGCGGCCCCGGGCGGCTCTGCCCGCGGAGCCTCGGTAACGGCGCGCGGCGCGGTGGCGGCTCCGGTGCTCGGTGGGAGCGGCCGCTCGGGCCGGGCCCTCCGTGCCCCGCCCCGGGACTGCGGCCGCTGATAGCGGCGGTGCGGGACGGTGTGGGCTGGCGGTGATAAAGGCGGCGGGTGCGGAGCTGGCCCGGAGCCCCGGGGAGGGCGCGGGGCGGGGCCCGGTTCGGCTCCCCGGGAGGCCCCGGTGTCCCGGGACACTGCCCGGTACCCCCGGGAGGCTGCCTGGCATCTTGGGCTGCTGCCCGGTTCGCCCGGATGCTGCCCGGTGCCCAGGGACCCCTGCCCGGTGCTCCGGGACCCCTGCCGGTGCCCAGGGAATGTGCCCGGTGCTCCCGTTAATCCCGGCTGCCGTTCCCGCCCCTCACTCCCGGTGATCCCCGCTCCCGTTCCAGCTCCTCACCCCGCTAATCCCGTTGTCATTCCCGCCCCTCACTCCCGGTAATCCCGCCGCCGTTCCCCTCCCGTCCCCACCCCCCGCCCCTCACCCGCTCCCTCTCCCCCCCAGGCCCCACCATGAACTTCGAGGGTCTCACCCCCTCCCTGGCCGAGTTCGGTGCCCCCCTGCACGCGGCGCTGGAGCCGGTGCTGGACCCCCACCTGGCGCCGGGGCTGGTGGAGCTGGACCCCGAGGGGGTGGGCCTGGAGGGGCTGCCGGTGCCCGACGCCGTGCCCCTCTTGGAGGGCATCTACAGCGAGCTGCACACGGCCGTCTCCGAGGTCGGCGTGCCCGCCGCCGTGGCACACTTCGACCTGCACGAGGAGATGCTGTGGGTCGGCAACCACGGGGTGCGTGGGCAGCGCTGGGGAGGGTCTGGAGGGGTTCTGGGGGCAGCGCTGGGGAGGGTCTGGAGGGGTTCTGGAGGGGTCTGGGGGGGTTTGGGGAGCTCTGGAGAGGGTCTGGAGGGGTTCTGGAGGGGTTTGGGGAGCTCTGGAGGGGTTTTGAGAGGTTCTGGGAGGGTCTGGAGGGGTTCTGGGGAGCTCTGGAGGGATTTTTGAGAGGTTCTGGGAGGGTCTGGAAGGGTTTGGGAAGTTCTGGAGAGGTTTTGAGAGGTTTTGGGGAGGTCTGGAGGGGTTTGGGGAGCTCTGGAGATGTTCTGGAGGGGTTTGGGGAGCTCTGGGGAGGTTTTGGGAGCTCTGGAGAGGTTCTGGAGGGGTTTTGGGAGGCTCTGGAGGGGTTTGGGGAGCTCTGGAGAGCGTCTGCAGGGGTTCTGGGGAGGTCTGGAGGCGTTTTGGGAGGTTCTGGAGATGTTTGGGGAGCTCTGGAGAGGTTCTGGGGAGACCTAAGGAGGTCTTGGGAAGCTCTGGAGAGGTTTTGAGAGGTTCTGGAGAGGTTTTGAGAAGCTCTGGAGAAGTTTTGAGAGGTTCTGGAGGGGTTTGTGGAGCTCTGGAGAGGGTCTGAAGAGGTATTGGGAAGCTCTGGAGAGGTTTTGAGAGGTTCTGGAGAGGGTCTGAGGAGGTCTGGAGGGGTTTGGGGAGTTCTGGAAAGGTCTTGGGAAGGTTTTGGAAGCTCTGGGGAAGTTTGAGAAGATCTCGGAAGGTTTTGAGAAGCTCTGGAAAGGTTTTGGGGAGCTCTGGAAAGGTTTTGGGGAGGTCTGGAGGGTTTTGGGAAGCTCTGGGAAGATTTTGGAAAGGTTTTGGGAGCTCTGGGGAAGTTTTGGAGCTCTGGAGAAGTTTTAGGGAGCTCTGGAGAGGTTTTGAGAAGCTCTGGGGAAGTTTGAGAAGATCTCGGAAGGTTTTGAGGAGCTCTCGGGAGGTTTAGGAAGCTCTGAAGAATAAAAAAAAAAGTTTGGTTCATTTGCATATCAGACTTTAATTGTCCAATTAGAGCTTGAGGTAATTCAGTCACATTCCCCCGGTTTGCTCCCCACAATTCCCTTTTTGTTTGCATTTTTTAGGGCCTGAGACAATCAGGTGTCCTTGAGTTTGAGGCTGAGAGAGGAATTGTTTTGTCTGGGTAAAAGAGCAGCTGACAGGCTGTGGGGTTTTGGGGTTACACCCTAAAGCAGTCGCCGAGCTGGAAATTAAAAACCTCAAACTTGAGTTTGAGTTAAAACCCAAAATTAATGTCCCTGTTCTGTGGCCTCCCACCAGCCCAGGTTATGGGGTTGTGGGGTTATGGGGTTATGGGGTTAATGGGGTTAATGGGGTTAATGGGGTTAATGGGGTTAATGGGGTTGTGGGGTTATGGGTTATAGGAAAACCCCCATAATCTGGAAAAGTCTAACCCATAACCTGGGGTTATGAGGTTAATGGAGTTATGGGTTATAGGAAAACCCCCATAACCTAGAAAAGCCTAACCCATAACCTGGAGTTATGGGGTTAATGGGGTTAATGGAGCTATAGGGTTAATGGGGTTGTGGGGTTATGGGTTATAGGAAAACCCCCATAATCTGGAAAAGTCTAACCCATAATCTGGGGTTATAGGGTTAATGGGGTTGTGGGGTTAATGGGGTTATGAGTTGTGGGGTTATGGGGTTATGAGTTATAGGAAAACCCCCATAACCTGGAAAAGCCTAACCCATAACCTGGGGTTATGAGGTTAATGGAGCTATGGGGTTATGGGTTGTGGGGTTATGGGTTATAGGAAAACCCCCATAACCTGGAAAAGCCTAACCCATAACCTGGGGTTATAGGGTTAATGGGTTAATGGAGCTATGGGGTTAATGGGATTATGGAGTTATGGGTTATGGGAAAACCCCCATAACCTGGAAAAGCCTAACCCATAACCTGGGGTTATGGGATTAATGGGGTTATGGGGTAATGGGTTATAGGAAAACCCCCATAACCAGGATCTGGCAGAGGACAAAGTGACACTCAGCTGTGTCACACCCACCAGGTTAATGGGATTATGGAGTTATGGGTTATAGGAAAACCCCCATAACCTGGAAAAGTCTAACCCATAACCTGGGGTTATGGGGTTAATGGAGTTATGGGGTTATGGGTTATAGGAAAACCCCCATAACCTGGAAAAGTCTAACCCATAACCTGGGGTAATGGGGTTAGTGGGGTTATGGGGTTAATGGGGCTACAGGGTTATGGGTTATGGAAAACCCCCATAACCTGGAAAAGCCTCCCCTAACTATAATGTAGGCTAATGGGGTTAATGGGGTTATGGGTTATGGGGTAATGAGTCATGGGAAAACCCCCATAACCTGGAAAAGCCTAACCCATAACCTGGGGTTATGGGGTTAATGGGGTTATGGGGTAATGGGTTATAGGAAAACCCCCATAACCAGGATCTGGCAGAGGACAAAGTGACACTCAGCTGTGTCACACCCACAGGGACATGGGGTTGTGACATCCCTGTCCCCTCTCCTTTCAGGGCTTCGGGGCCATGTTGGGATTTTTTATTTATCCAGGGAAAAGCCTGAGCTGCGTTCCCTGGCTTGGAGCACCCAGGAGTGCCAGGAATGCCCCCAAGCCTGGAAAATCCGGGATTTTGCAGAGGATAAAGCAACACTCAGCTGTGTCACACCCACAGGGACATGGGGTTGTGACACCTCTGTCCCCTCTCCTTTCAGGGCAGCGAGGACATGTTGGGATTTTTTATTTATCCAGGGAAAAGCCTGAGCTGGCTTGGAGCACCCAGGAATGCCCCCAAACCTGGAAAATCCGGGATTTTGCAGAGGACAAAGCAACACTCAGCTGTGTCACACCCACAGGGACATGGGGTTGTGACATCCCTGTCCCCTCTCCTTTCAGGGCTTCGGGGCCATGTTGGGATTTTTTATTTATCCAGGGAAAAGCCTGAGCTGCCTTCCCTGGCTTGGAGCCCCCAGGAGTGCCAAGAATGCCCCCAAACCTGGAAAATCCGGGATTTTGCAGAGGACAAAGCAACACTCAGCTGTGTCACACCCACAGGGACATGGGGTTGTGACACCTCTGTCCCCTCTCCTTTCAGGGCAGCGAGGACATGTTGGGATTTTTTATTTATCCAGGGAAAAGCCTGAGCTGGCTTGGAGCACCCAGGAATGTACCCATAACCTGGAAAATCCGGGATTTTGCAGAGGATAAAGCAACACTCATCTGTGTCACACCCACCGGGACATGGGGTTGTGACACCTCTGTCCCCTCTCCTTTCAGGGCCACGCCACCTCCTTCTTCGGGCCCACGCTGGAGCGCTACTCCTCCTTCCAGGTGAACAGCAGCGACGACATCCGCCAGATCCAGAGCCTGGAGAACGGCGTCCTCTTCCTCACCAAAACCAACCTCAAGTACCTGTCCCGGGGCGGCCTCATCATTTTCGACTACCTGTGAGTGCTCCTGGCCCCTCCAGCCCCTCCCTGCTCCCTCCAGGGGCTGGGCAGGGTTTCAGGGGTCTCTGGGGTGTCAGGGGTCTCAAGGGTCACAGAGGTGTCAGGTGTGTCAGGGGGCTCAGGAGCCTCAGGGGTCCCTAGGGTCTCAGGGGTCTCTGGGGTGTCAGGAGTCTCAGGTGTGTCAGGGGTCTCTGGGGTGTCAGGATTCTCAGAGGTGTCAGGTGTGTCAGGGGTCTCAGGAGTCTCAGGGGTCTCAGAGGTATCAGGTGTGTCAGGGGTCTCAGGAGTCTCAGGAGTCTCAGGGGTCCCTTCAGGTGTGTCAGGGGTCTCAGGAGTCTCAGGGGTCCCTGGGGTCTCAGGGGTCTCAGGTGTGCCAGGGGTCTCTGGGGTTTCAGGGGTGGCAGGAGCCTCAGGTGTGTCAGGGGTCTCTAAAGTGGCAGGGGTCTCAGGGGTGGCAGGAGCCTTAGGGGTGTCAGAGCACTCAGGTGTCTCAGGGGTCTCGGGAGTCTCAGGGGTCTCAGGGATCTCTGGTGTGTCACGGATCTCAGGGGTGTCAGAGGACTCTGGGATCTCAGGGGTCTCAGGGATTTCAGGGGTCTCTGGGGTGTCAGGGGTCTCTGGGGTGGCAGGGGTCTCAGGGGTCTCTGGAGCCTCAGGGGTCTCAAGTGTCTCAGGACTCTCAGGGGTCTCAGGGGTCTCAGGGTGTCCTGCCTGTCCCCCAGCATGGATGAGTCCGAGGACATGCACAGCCTCCTGCTGACAGACAACAACACCCTGCTGGTGGCCGGGCTGCAGAACCACGTCCTGGAGGTGGACCTCAACACCGTGCAGGAGACGCAGAAGGTGTGGCAGGGCCGGGGGCTGCTCCCTGGAGCTTTGCTCTGGGAGTCCTCCCTGCTCTTCCCTGCCCATCCCTGCTCATCCCTGCTCATCTCTGCTCTTTTCTGCTCATATCTGCTCTTCCTTGGTCATCTCTGCTCTTCCCTGGTCATCCCTGCCCATCCCTGCTCATCTGTGCCCATCCCTGCCCATCCCTGCTCATCCCTCTCCATCCCTGTCCATCCCTCTCCATCCCTGCCCATCCCTGCTCCCATCCCTGCCCTTCTCTGCCCATCCCTGCTCTTCCCTGCTCTCTCCCCTGCCCATCCCTGTCCATCCCTGCCCATCCCTGTCCATCCCTGCCCATCCCTGCCCATCCCTGCCCATCCCTGCCCATCCCTGCCCATCCCTGCCCATCCCTGCCCATCCCTGCCCCATCCCTGCCCATCACTGTCCATCCCTGCTCTCTCTCCTGCCCATCCCTGCCCATCCCTGCCCATCCCTGCTCTTTGCTGACCCCCGCTCTCCCCACCTCTCTCCCAGTACACCGTGGAGGTGCCCGGCATCACCATCATGAGGCAATCCAACCGCTTCTTCTTCTGCGGCCACACCTCGGGCAAGGTAACCCTGCTGAAATGAGGGAAACCCCAGGATCTGAGCTCTTCCCACACCTCCAGAGCCTGGGTGACCACAGCAGGACGTCCCCTCACAGGTGTCCCTGCGTGACCTGCGCACCTTCGTGGTGGAGCACGAGTTTGACGCCCACTCCGGCAGCCTGTCGGACTTTGACGTGCACGGCAACCTGCTGGTGACCTGTGGCTTCTCCAGCCGCATGAATGGCCTGGCCTGTGACCGCTTCCTCAAGGTCTACGACCTGAGGATGATGAGGGCCACCACGCCCCTGCAGGTCCACATCGACCCCTTCTTCCTCCGCTTCATCCCCACCTACACGTCGCGCCTGGCCATCATCTCCCAGACAGGTGCGGTCACGCTGTGGGTGACGCTTCTATCAAGATTTAAAAATTCTCTGCAGTTCCATTTCCCTCATGTGGGGATGGTCGTGGTGTCCTCAAGTTCAGGGTTGGGTCCTGTGGGTTTCAGGCTGGAGCAGAGGAGGATGAGGGGAGAGCTCACAAATTCCTCGCTTTGCTCTCTGGGGTGGTGACCCAAGGGAATGGCTGGAGCTGTTTAGGTGGGGTTTTGGGAAAAGATTCTTCCTCCAGAGGGTGGCTGGGCACTGAACAGGCTCTTGGTCATGGTCCCAAGGCTGCCAGAGCTCCAGGAGTGTTTGGGCAGTGCTCTCAGGCAGAGGGTGGGATTTTGGAGTGTCCTCTGCAAGGACAGGAGTTGGACTTTCATCCTTGTGGGTCTCTTGCAGCTCAGGTTATTCCATGATTCCAGAGAGCAGAGAGTGTTTGGACAATGCTCTCAAGTCCTTAACGCTCTCAGGTGTTGGGATTTGGGGATTTGAGGAACTTTTGGGCTTGTCCTGTGCAAGGACAGGAGTTGGACTTGATGATCCTTGTGAGCCCTTTTCAGCTCAGGATATTCCATGATTCTGGAGATCCTGGAGTCTTTGGACAACGCTCTCAGGTGTTGGGATTTGGGGACTGGAGAACTTTTGGGCTTGTCCTGTGCAAGGACAGGAGCTGGACTCGATGATCCTTGCAAGTTCCTTTCAGCTCAGGATTTTCCACAATTCCAGAGACCAGGGAGTGCTTGGACAACGCTCTCAGGTGTTGGGATTTGGGGATTTGAGGAACTTTTGGGCTTGTCCTGTGCAAGGACAGGAGTTGGACTTGATGATCCTTGTGAGCCCTTTTCAGCTCAGGATATTCCATGATTCTGGAGATCCTGGAGTCTTTGGACAATGCTCTCAGGTGTTGGGATTTGGGGACTGGAGAACTTTTGGGCTTATCCTCCACAGGACCAGGAGCAGGACTTTGATCCTTGTGCCTCCCTTCCCACTCAGGACACTCCACAATGCTCATCCAAGCGCTGCTATCCCCTTCCAGCGGCGTGCCTGACTCCCACCCACACTTCCCCATTTTCAGTGCCCCATTTTCCCCCCCACCAGGCCAGTGCCAGTTCTGCGAGCCCACCGGGCTGGCCAACCCCGCCGACATCTTCCACGTCAACACCGTGGGGCCGCTCATCATGACCTTCGACGTGTCGGCCAGCAAGCAGGCGCTGGCCTTCGGCGACTCCGAGGGCTGCGTCCACCTCTGGGCCGACTCCCCCGAGGTCACCTTCAACGCCTACTCCCGCGAGACCGATTTTGCCCTGCCCTGCATGGTGGACACGCTGCCGCAGCTGGATTGGAACCAGGACCTGGTGCCTCTGTCGCTGATCCCGGTGCCGCTGACCAGCGACGCGCTGCTCTCCGACTGGCCGGCCGCCAACTCCGCGCCGGCGCCGCGGTAATCCCCACATTCCTGCTGAAAGGGATTCTGGTAGAGTTCTTCTCTTTCCTCGTGGCTGGAGGGGCTGGCTAGAGCAGAGGATAGAGGGATTAAATGAAATTAAAAGGAGGTTTTTATGGAAGGGCTTCGATAGGTGCACCTTGGGTAGTTAAAGCCTCCCGGAGGTTACACCCGAGATGTTGGTTGTGAGTTTTTCACACTTATAAGTTTGGTGTATTTACATATCAGGGGTTAATCCTCCAATTACAGCTTCAGGTAATGGAGTTACTCACTCCAGTTCCAGCCTCGGGTAATGGAGTTACCCACTCCAGTTACAGCCTCAGGTAATGGAGTTACTCACTCCAGTTACAGCCTCGGGTAATGGAGTTACTCACTCCAGTTACAGCCTCAGGTAATGGAGTTACTCACTCCAGTTACAGCCTCAGGTAATGGAGTTTACTCCAATTACAGCCTGATATTTATTATTTAGTTATTATTACTATATTGTTAGTTATACCCTAAATTCAGTTGTTTACATCTCTAGCAGCTTGAGTCAGGTGTCCTTGAGTTTTGGAGAGGAATTGTTTTATTTAAATAAAATGGGAGAACAGCAGCTGACAGGCTGTGGAGTTGTAGAGTTATACCATAAAGCACTACAAGACCTGAAAAATATAAAAACCAAATCCTAAGGCATCATTCCTGCTTACCTGTGAAACACCAGACGAGTTTCCTGCAGTGGAGGTGTGAGGATGGTGGGACATGGTCCCAACTCCCTCCCACTCCCAGTGGGATCCTGCCTCTGCCCTGCCCATGGGGAATCTCCTTTTCCCTCTTCCTAACACCCCCCCGTGCTCAGCGTCCCTTGTTGGGATGGAAAATGAACCTGGGGAGGGGGGAACACTCAGGACCACCCTCGGGTGGGTCCCTGAGCCCCCCTGGGTGGGTGGGAGGTGCTGCTCTGAGCCAGGGGGTGTTTCCAGGCGAGCCCCCCCGGTGGATCCCGAGATCCTGCGCACCATGAAGAAGGTGGGGTTCATCGGCTACGCCCCAAACCCCAGGACCAAGCTCCGTAACCAGGTACCCACTGCCAGCAGGGGATTTTGGGAGGGTGGAGCTCTGCAGCCTGGGAGGGGATGGGGCTCTCTGCGTGCTGAGGGATCCCCGAGGTTTCGGGGCAAAAGGTGGAATCCCATCCCATTCCCTTGGTGGAGTTTGGAGGTGGCAGCTCCTCCTGAGCAGGGAAAGGGATGGAGTTTTCCCAGTTCCATCCCTCCGTGGCTCTGAGGGCAGGGGAGGTCTGAGCTGTTGGGAGGTTCATGGCACGTCCCTCAGCCTTGGGAAAACACTGCCCTGTGCTTTCCCACAGTGACAAATCCCTGTGAGCAGGAAGGTGTGGAGGCCTCGTGCAGGTCCAGGGAGGGCCCCACTCTGCTCTGGTGGATCCCTTTGCTCATTCAGGGAGGCAGGAAAGCCCAGGAGTTGCTTGTGGGGTTTCTCCCCACCTCAGGGCTCAGCTGCTCACCCCTTCTCTCTCCCTGCTCCAAGATTCCTTATAGGTTAAAGGAGATGGACAACGAGTTTGACAACTTCAGCCAAGTCCCCGAGTCCCCCATCGGGCGTGAGGAGGAGCCACATCTCTACAGGGTGGCCAAGAAGTACAGGAAGGTGGTGGCCTTGGGGGGCTGCTGGGGGCACAGTGGGGAAAAGGCTCCATGGGGTGAGGTGTTTGTTTCACTTGTCACATCTCTGCTCAGGTCACCATCAAATACTCCAAGCTGGGGCTGGAGGATTTTGACTTCAAGCATTACAACAAGACGCTGTTTGCGGGGCTGGAGCCCCACATTCCCAACGCTTACTGCAACTGCATGATCCAGGTGGGAGCTGCCCCAGGCCCACCCAGACCCCCGGGACCCCCCCAGAGCCCCCCTGACTGCTGGCTCTCTCCCAGGTGCTCTATTTCCTGGAGCCAGTTCGCTGCCTGGTCCAGAACCACCTGTGCCAGAAGGAATTCTGCCTGGGCTGCGAGCTGGGCTTGCTCTTCCACATGCTGGACCTGTCCCGAGGAGACCCCTGCCAGGTCTGTGCTGGGCTGGGCTGCCCAGGGCGTGGCAGAGGAACGGGAGTGGTGCTGGGCAGGCTGATGGAAACTCCTGTCACTCGGCCTTGGTGACATTGCTCTTGCCCCATGCCCAGGGAAGCAATTTTCTGCGGGCTTTCCGCACCATCCCGGAGGCGTCGGCGCTGGGCTTGATCCTGGCAGACTCAGATGAAGCCACGGGGAAGGTGAACCTGGGGAGGCTGATTCAGAGCTGGAACCGTTTCATCCTGACTCAGCTGCACCAGGAGACCCAGGAGCAGGAGGGACCCCAAGCCTACCGGGGGGCTGGCAGCAGGTGAGGCCCTGGCATGGGGATGGCACAGGGAATGAGCAAGCTGGGGAGGGGGACTGCTCACCAGAGACCCCACCCATCCCTCAGGAAGTTTTTTTGCCACTCATGCCTTGAGGGATCCATGGGAACTGCAGCTCTCCACATATCTGAACCCTGTGCCCCCCTAAAACCTGTCTGGAGGCTTGAACTTTACAGAGGGGCTTGGAAGGTTGGGATTGCTCAGATGGCTGATTCCCCGAAATCTGCTGGAATTTGGGAGCTGTGGGCCCTCAGCTTAGGGATCCCTGCTGATCCCAGTGCTGTTTTTCCAGCAGCTTTGGCTCCTCAGGGGACTCTGTGATCGGGCAGCTCTTCAGCTGTGAGATGGAGAACTGCAGCATGTGCCGCTGTGGGAAGGAGACTGTCCGTGTGTCCTCCACGCTGCTCTTCACCCTCTCCTACCCCGACAGCACCGGTAACAGCAGGGCCCAGCCCCCTCAGCTGGGTGGGGTTTGTTTTCCAGGATTTTTCCAGCTGGAACACACCCACAGCCAGGAGCTGCCTCAGCTCCAGGAGCGGGTTTCCAACCAGCCGTGTTTTTGGCTTCAGAAAGACACTTTTGGGGCTTGACCTTCTGGCTGGTGGTTACGAGGAAAACCCCAGAGGTTTGGCTGAGCTCAGCTGGTCAAGGTTTGTGTGCTGGAGAGGTGACGTTATTCTCCTTTCTCCCTCCAGAAAAACCAGCCAAGGATTACGAGTTCGCCCAAATTTTAAAGCGTAGCATCTGCTTGGAGCAGAACACCCAGGCCTGGTGTGAGAACTGTGAGAAGTACCAGCCCACGGTGAGCCTGGCACGGGGGGCACGGGCACGAGGGGCTGTGGGACACGGGCATGAAGGGGGCAGTTTCTCCCTGAGTCACCGGGGAACTCATCCTGAGCGGATTCCCTGGGAGATTCGGTTCCTGGCCCGGCTGGCAGCCGTGGGGTATTTCCTGGGCTCTGTGAATTCCTCTCACAGGGGCAAGGATTCAGCAGGGAGAAACAACCCCCCAGGAGCTGCTGGAGCAGCTCTGGTGTCCTGGAAGTGCCCCCAGGACTGCAGCCAGGCAGGGGAGGAAGCACTGCAGGCCAAGGCGGTGGCAGATGTCCCAAATCCTGCTCGGATGTCCCAAATCCCTCTCCAGGGCTCTCATTCCCACCTCCCCCTCTCCCTGCAGGTGCAGACCAGGAACATCCGCTGCCTGCCAGACGTGCTGGTCATTAACTGTGAGGTGAACAGCTCCAAGGAGGCAGATTTCTGGAAGACACAGGCTGAGGTGGGGCAGACACGCCGGGCACGCGGGGGTTGCGGTGCCCGGCCCCGCCGAGGTTTTCACTCTGCCCTCGCTGTCTCTGGCCTCTCTCCCTCCACCCGAGGACCTGGTGCAGTTGGGTCGTGCCTGGGGCACGGTCTGTGCCTTTGGAGTTGGAAAACACGAGATCTCCAGGCGTGGCAGAGCTGAAGGGACTGCAGGAGTGACTTTGTCCTTCCCCCACCCCCCCGGGAGCGCCTTGGGTTTCCCTTGCTTTTTCCTTGTCACCAATTTTCTATCCCTGTGTTTTCCCTGCTCCTGGCCTGGCTGTCACCCACGTGTCCCCAGGGCTGGCCTGTCACCGTGTGCTGACGCTTGCCTGTGTTTCGTTGCCAGTATTCCTTTCAGAAAGCCATGATGAAGAGAGGAGGCTTTGACATCACCAAGGGAAAGGAGATCTCTCTTAGAGACTGGTAGGTGACCATTCAGGAGGAATTTCTTCATGGAAAGAGTTTGGACGTGCCCAGGGAGGTGGTGGAGTCACCATCCCTGGAGGTGGCCCAGGAATGAGTGGATGTGGCACTCTGGTCTGGGTGATTGACCAGAGGTTGGACTTGATGACCGTGGAAAGCTTTTCCAGCCTCAAGGATTCTGGGATTCTGTTCCTGGGCTGGCAGCTCTGAGCGGTGACACCTCCTGGGTGATTCTCTGGGCTATTTCTCTTGTAAATAATGTTGATTTGATAACCTGCCTGTCTGAGGCTGCACCACATCCCCTTTGTCACCCACCTCGTGCCCCTTTTGTAACTGACAAAAGCCCCAAAACCACATTGGCTCAGCACCTCTCCCAGAGTCCTGCTCCAGGCAGCTCCAGCTTCCCACAGAAATTTCAGGAATCAGCTGGGTGGGAGTCCTGGCCTGGTGACATCTCCCTCCAGCTCAGCTTTCCATGATTCCCCGTGCAGGAAGGATCTGGGGAACCCCGACACGGGGCATTCGTATCCTTCCGTGGAGGAACTGAAGAACATTTGGATCCCTCACGCCATCAAGATGAGGTTGACCAAGAGCAAAGAGCTCGACGTGAGCAACTGGAGCGAGAGCGACGAGGTAAAGTGACAGAGTCACCGTGGGTGAGGTGACAAAATCACTGTGGGTGAGGTGACAGAGTCACCGCGGGTGAAGTCACAGAATCGCCGCGGGTGAAGTGACAGAGGCACGTGGGGCTGTGGGAGCAGAGCTGCCTCAGAACCACTTTCTGCTGAGAGATGATGAGGAGATAACTCAGGGGAGCACGGAAATAGCCGGGCTGGTGCTTTGGGGGCTCGGACATTCCCGGTTCCTCCCACAGCTGAGCCCAACAGACGACCCCGAGTCCGTGTACATCTACGACCTCATGGCCACCGTTGTCCACATCCTGGATCCCCGCACGGGGGGCAGCCTGGTGGGGCACATCAAGGTGGGAGAGACCTACCACCAGCGGAAGGAGGTGAGACCCTGCAGGACCCCCAGGGCACCCACCAGCTCCTGGGAGCCCCCCCGAGGGGGATCTGTCCTTCCTGGCTCTCTCAGCCAAGTGTGGAGGGTTTGGCTGAACGCCAAAAGCTGCTGGGGCCCCTCACGGGGAGGGAAGGGTTGAAGAAATCTTCTTCCCACACCCACTCAGGCTGGTTCCTCCTGGCCATGGGCACGGTGCCAGCTTGTCCTTGTACTTCCAGGTAAGGGCAGGGACGTCATCTCCCTTCCCGAGGAAAGGGCTGGTCTGGGCACTCCTGGTTTCTGCTGGAGATGCCCAAGGCAGGAGTTCCCAGAGTGTGTCAAGGCTCCATGCCTGTCTCTTATCTCTTGCATCTCCCTGGAGTTTTGCTCAGGAGCTGGGCAGAGCCCGGAGCCCGTCCAGCCCAATCCTTTCTGGTCCCGTGTCACCACCCAGGGCAGCAGGGATTTCCCCACGGTGTCCCAGGAAGGGCGGGGGTTCCCCCATGGCACCGTCACACCCTCCTTTCCCTGGTAACTGCAGAGGAGTCACTGCTCTGGCCTGGGGGGGCCCCTAAGGCTGTGCCTTCCCTCCCCAGGGAGTCACCCACCAGCAGTGGTACCTCTTCAACGACTTCCTCATCGAGCCCGTGGACAAGGTGAGCGCCGAGGTGACACCGTGGCCGCCCCATGGAGCCACCCAGGCTGTCCCTGACCGTCCCCCTTCCCCTGCAGTGCGAGGCCGTGCAGTTTGACATGAGCTGGAAGGTGCCAGCCATCCTCTACTACGCCCGGAGGAACCTCAACGCCAAGTACAACCTCGTCAGTGAGTGCCCCTGGCGTGGAAGCGGCGGCGGGGCCGGCGCCGCCGCGGCGCCGCTGAGCTCCTTCCCCTTTCCCTGCACAGTCAAGAACCCCATCGAGGCCAACGTGCTGCTGGCCGAGGCCTCGCTGGCCCGCAAGCAGCGCAAGTGCCACGCCACCTTCATCCCCCTCATGCTCAACGAGATGCCCCAGGCTGGAGACCTGGTGGGGCTGGACGCCGAGTTCGTCACGCTGAACGAGGTGGGGGAGCTCTCTGGTTGGGGACACGGGGCACAGGGATGGCCCCTCTGGGGTTGTGGGTCACCACGTGTCCCGTCCCTGGTGGCAGGAGGAGGCTGAGCTGCGCAGTGATGGCACCAAGTCCACCATCAAGCCCAGCCAGATGTCGGTGGCCCGGATCACCTGCGTGCGTGGGCAGGGCCCCAACGAGGGCGTGCCCTTCATCGATGACTACATCTCCACCCAGGAGCAGGTATGGGGGCACACCTGGCCTCACGCTGCTCCCCAGGCCACCGGGAGGGACGTGGGCCTGCTCTGCAGGTGACAGTGACCTCATCTGGGCACGTGTGTGTTGTCCGTGGTGACCTCACTTGGACACCTGGGTGTTCTCCATGGTGACCTCACCTGGGCATGTGTGTGTTCTCTGTGGTGACCTCACTTGGACACCTGGGTGTTCTCCATGGTGACCTCATCTGGGTACCTGTATTCCCCAAGGTGACTTCACCTGGGCTTCTGTGTGTTCTCCATGGTGACCTCATCTGGGTTCCTGAGTGTTTTCCATGGTGACCTCACCTGGGCTTCTGAGTGTTCTCCTTGGTTACCTCACCTGGACACTTGGGTGCTCCCCATGAACTCCTCTGTCCTCCACGGTGACCATATCTGGACACCTCTGTGCTCCCCGTGGGCAGCTGGGTGCACCCTATGGACACCTGGCTGCTCTCCAGGGACTCCTTTGTCCCCTTTGGTGACCTTACCTGGACTCCTGTGTTCTCTATGGTGACCTCACTTGGACACCCACCCACCTGGGTGCTGACCATGGACACCTGGGTGCTCTCCAGGGACACCTGGGTGCTCTCCATGGACACTTGGGTGCTCTCCAGGGACACCTGGGTGTTCTCCATGGATATCTGGGTGTTCTCCTGGACACCTGTGTGCTCTCCATGGACACTTGGGTGCTCTCCAGGGATATCTGGGTGTTCTCCATGGACACCTGGGTGCCCTCCATGAACACCTGGGTGCTCTCCAGGGATATCTGGGTGTTCTCCATGGACACTTGGGTGCCCTCCATGGACACTCTCCTGGACACCTGGGTGCTCTCCATGGACACTTGGGTGCTCTCCAGGGATATCTGGGTGTTCTCCATGGACACCTGGGTGCTCCCTATGGACACCTGGATGCCCTCCATGAACACCTGGGTGCTCTCCTGGACACCTGGGTGCTGACCATGGACTCCTGGGTGCTCCCTATAGACACCTGGGTGTTCTCCATGGATACTGGGTGTTCTCCATGAACACCTGGGTGCTCTCCTGGACACCTGGGTGGTGACCATGGACATCTGGATGTTCTCCATGAACATCTGGGTGCTCTCCTGGACACCTGGGTGCTCTCCAGGGATATCTGGGGGCTCTCCATGGATACCTGGGTATTCTCCATGGACATCTGGGTATTCTCCATGAACACCTGGGTGCCCTCCATGGACACCTGGGTGTTCCCCTGTGTCCTCTGTGGTGACCTCACCTGCATTCCCGTGTCCTCACTGGACTCCCACGTCCTCCATGGTCACCTGTGGCTGTTGTCCTCCACCAGCAGCCCCCTCCCCAGGGTGCTGAGAGGGGAACTGGGGAGGGGGCAGAGCCCCTGGGCCCTGCAGCCCCCTCCAGGTGCCCTGGTCTCCGCAGGTGGTGGATTACCTGACCCAGTACTCGGGGATCAAGCCAGGAGACCTGGACGCCAAGATCTCCTCCAAGCACCTGACCACCCTCAAGTCCACCTACCTGAAGCTTCGTTTCCTCATCGACGTGGGCGTCAAGTTCGTGGGCCACGGGCTGCAGAAGGATTTCCGTGTCATCAACCTGATGGTGACAGCCTGCCCCCCTCCCTGGCCACGGTGGGGGGCTGGGGTGGGGCTGGGAGGGCTCGGGCCGGCCCCATGTCCCCCCCCTGCCCCCACAGCAGGACCTGTCCCCTCCCCAGGTGCCCAAGGACCAGGTGATCGACACCGTGTACCTGTTCCACATCCCGAGGAAGAGGATGATCTCCCTGCGCTTCCTCGCCTGGTACTTCCTGGGTGGGTACCGGAGCTCCGGGAGCCGGGAAGGGGCGGATCCCCCCTCCGGGGGTCCCCGCGCTGAGCCGGGGGTGTCCCCGCAGACCTGAAGATCCAGGGGGAGACCCACGACAGCATCGAGGACGCGCGCACGGCGCTGCAGCTGTACCGCAAGTACCTGGAGCTGAGCCCGCAGGGCGCGGAGCCCGAGGAGTTCCGCAAGGTGCTCAAGGGGCTCTACGAGAAGGGCCGCAAGCTGGACTGGAAGGTGCCCGAGCCCGACAGCCAGAGCAGCCCCAAGCGTAAGATGGCACCGCTGTCCCCTCCCCGTGTCCCCTCTCCCCTCCCCGTGTCCCCTGTCACCTCCCCGTGGCCCCTGTCACCTCCTCGTATCCCCTGTCCCCTCCCCGTGTCCCCTCTCCCCTCCCCGTGTCCCCTCTCTCGCCCCATGCTGTGTCCCCTGTCACCCCGATGTCCCCTGTCACCCTGGTCTCCCCTCTCACTCCCTGTCCCCCCTCCCCTTCCCGGTGTCCCCTCTCCCCTCCCTGGTGTCCCCTCTCCATGTCCCCTCGCCCCTCCCTGTGTCCCCTCTCCCTCAACAGTGTCCCCTGTCATTCCCTGTCCCCTGTCACCCCGCTGTCCCTCTCCCCCGCCGTGTCCCCTCTCCCCCTGTTTTGTCCGGTCACCCCGGTGTCCCCTCTCCCCCCCCGCGGGCCCGGGGCTGCCCCCGCCCGCCCGCCCCGGGCCCGGTGCCCCGGGGCTCCCCTTCCCTGCCGGTACCGGCAGCACTGCCCGACCCCCGCCCGGGCCCGGTGCCCCGGGGCTCCCCTTCCCTGCCGGTACCGGCAGCACTGCCCGACCCCCGCCCGGGCCCGGTGCCCCGGGGCTCCCCTTCCCTGCCGGTACCGGCAGCACTGCCCGCCGGCCCGGGCGCCCCCATAAAGAACCTCGGACCCCCGAGACCGTGTCCTCCTTGGCTCCGGGGGGCGGCACCGGCACCGGGGCGCGGAGGAGCCAAACCGGGACCGGGACCGGGCACAGAGCAAGGAGCGGGGCTGGCACCGGGAGCACCGGGACCGGGAATGGGAGCAGGGACACGGTGCAGGGGAACCGGCCCGGGGCTGGCAGCGGGGACAGAGCAGGAATTACCGGGACCGGGCTCGGAACGGAACCAGCACCGGGCACGACAGGATGGACTCGGTCTAGTGCTCACACCGGGAGCACGGCGGGACGGACCGGGACCGGACCGGGGGCACGGCGGGGAGGAACGGGACCCAGGCTCGGTCCGGGGCTCAGACCGGGAGCACGGCGGGACGAACCCCAGTCCCGGTGTCCCGATCCCAGTGTCCCAATCCCGATCCCGGTCCCGGTCCCGGTTCGCGGCTGAGCCGGGGTGGGGGCGTGGCCAGACCGGCCCAGTAGGCGGAGCCACGTCAGACCCCGCCCACTCGGGGCCGAGCGCCACGCGGCCGGGCCCTGGCAACGGCGGGGCCCTCGGCTGCCGTCCGGGCGGGACCGGCGGCGCCGCGGGCAGTCCCGGGGCAGCCGGTGGTTGTGAGGGGCGGTGGGAGCGGGACGGGAGAGCGGCCGGTACGGGGGGCGCAGGACGGGGGGGGCTCGGCCGGGCCCGGGGCTCGGATGGGGGCGCGGCTCGGGAGCGGGTCCGGGACCAGGGAGCTTCGGGAAGGCGATGGGCTCGGCCATGGGGACGACGGGCTCCATAGGGGCTGTGGGGGATCCCGGAGGGGAGGGGGCGCTGTGAGGGCTGAGCGCTGCCCTACGGGGAGGGGTCCCTTAGGGGCTCTGGGCTGTGCCCTATAGGGGAGGGGGTTCTGTGGGGCTCTGGATTGTGCCATATAGGGAACGGGTCCATTTAGGGGCTGTGCCCTATATGGGGAGGGGGCTCTGTGGGGGCTGTGCGCTGTGTGGGGAGGGGTCCCTGTGGGGGCTCTGCCCTATGGGGAAGGGTCCCTGTAGGGGCTGTGCCCTATAGGGGAGGGGGCTCTGTGGATCTCTGGGCTCTGCGCTATGGGGAGGGGTCCCTGTGGGGGCTCTGCCCTATGGGGAGGGGTCCCTGTGGGGGCTCTGCCCTATGGGGAGGGGTCCCTGTGGGGGCTCTGCCCTATGGGGAGGGGTCCCTGTGGGGGCTCTGCCCTATGGGGAGGGGGCTCTGTGGGGGCTCTGCCCTATGGGGAGGGGTCCCTGTGGGGTCCAGCGGCACTAACGGGACTCAGAGCGCACCGGGAAGGGGAACGCCGTGCATGAAGCCCTGCGGGGAACGGGGGTCCCGGGGGGGTCCGGGCAGGGACCGGTGGGGTGGGGACAGCGCGGCCACAGCGCTGGAGCTGCCCCGTGCCCGCAGGTGACAGCGGAGCCCTGAGGATGCCGGGCCGGGTCCCGGGAAGCTGCGGGGCCCCGGGGATGCGGGGCCGGGTCCCGGCCCTGCTCGGCCTGGCCCTGGCCTTGGCGTCGCTGCTGCCCGCGGCCGGAGCGCGCCGGAGCCAGGACCTGCACTGCGGAGGTGTGGGGGGACACGGGGGGACACGGGGCACCGGGTGGGATGGGACAGCATGGGGACAGTGGGGACAGGGCAGGACAGGTGGGAAATGGGGGAAGAGGGGGGACAGGGACATAGGGATCGAGGTGGGACAGGGCAGGACAGGTGGGAAATGGGGGAAAAGGGAGGACAGGGACATAGGGATGGGATGGGACAGGGGGAACAGTGGGGACAGGGCAGGACAGGGACAATGGGGACAGGGGGAACAGGGCAGGACAGGTGGAAAATGGGGGAACAGGGGGGACAGGGACAATGGGGACAGGATGGGACAGGGGAACAGTGGGAACAGGGTGGGAAAGGGAGGACAGGGACATGGGGACAGGATGGGACAGTGGGGACAGGGCAGGACAAGTGGGAAAAGGGAGGACAGTGACATGGGGACAGGATGAAATGGGGAGACAGGGCTGAACAGGGGGACAGGGACAGAGAAGACAGCAAAACAAGACAGGGGACAGGCTCAGGGCTTGTGGGTGTCCACTGGGACCAGCTGGACCCCCAGTGTCCCCCAGGGGGACAGGCTGAGGGTCTCCAGCCCATGGGGACCCCTCCCCACACACCCTCCATCCCAGCGTGCCCCAGTCACACCAGCCTGGCTCTGGGCAGCTGCAGGGGCACACGTGCCAAGTGTCCCTTGTCACCGTGTCCCCCACAGCCTGCCGGGCGCTGGTGGATGAGCTGGAGTGGGAGATCGCCCAGGTGGACCCCAGGAAAACCATCCAGATGGGCTCGTTCCGCATCAACCCCGACGGCAGCCAGTCCGTGGTGGAGGTGAGGCCCCTCCCGGTGTCCCCACTCCCAGTGTTCCCACTGACCCCTCTCTGGGGCCTCTCCTGGTGTCCCTGCTCCCGGGGACTCTGCTGACCCCTCCCCGGGGTCTCTCCCTGTGTCCCCACTCCTGGTGTCCCCTCTGAGCCCTCCCTAGGGCCTCTCCTGGTGTCCCTGCTCCCGGGGACTCTGCTGACCCCTCCCTGGGGTCTCTCTCCGGTGTCCCCACTCCTGGTGTTCCCTCTGAGCCCTCCCCAGGGCCTCTCCCAACGTCGCCGCTCCCAGTGTCCCCACTCCTGGTGTCCCCACTCCTGGTGTCCCTGCTGACCCCTCTTTGGGGCCTCTCCTGGTGTTCCCGCTCCCAGTGTCCCCTCTGACCCCTCCCCGGGGCCTCTCTCAGTGTCCCCACTCCCAGTGTCCCCTCTGACCCCTCCCCAGTGTCTCTCCTGGTGTCCCCTCTGACCCCTCCTTGGGGTCTCTCCCGGTGTCCCCACTCCCGGTGTTCCCTCTGACCCCTCCTTGGGGCTGCTCCCAATGTCGCCGCTCCCGGTGTCCCTGCTGAGCTCTGCTCAGGGCCTCTCCCGGTGTCCTCACTCCTGGTGTCCCCACTCCTGGTGTCCCTGCTCCCGGTGCCTCTCCCAGTGTCCCTGCTCCCGGAGTCCCCGCTGACCCCTCCCCGGTGCCCCCGCTGAGCCCTGCCCGGTGCCTCTCCCAGTGTCCCCTTTGACCCCTCCCTGGTGTCCCCACTCCCGGTGTCCCCTCTGACCCCTGCCCGGTGTCCCCGCTCCGGTGTCCCGGCTGAGCCCCGCCTGGGGTCTCTCCCGGTGTCCCCACTCCCGGTGTCCCCGCTCCGGTGTCCCGGCTGAGCCCCGCCGGTGCCGCAGGTGCCGTACGCCCGTTCCGAGGCGCACCTGACGGAGCTGCTGGAGCGCGTGTGCGAGAAGATGAAGGAGTACGGCGAGCGGCTGGACCCGGCCACGCAGCGCAAGAGCTACGTGCGCGTCATCTCCCGCGACGGCGCCAAGATGGACCTGTCCGGCCTCAGGTTCGACGGGGACGTCACCTCCAGCCTGAAATTCGCGGTGCGTGAGGGGCCGGGGGGGTCCTGGGGGGGCGTGGGTGGCACGGGGGGGTCCCGCGGGCTGGCGGTGTCACCGGTGTCGCCGTTGCAGTGCGAGAGCATCGCCGAGGAGTACGAGGACGAGCTCATCGAGTTCCTGTCGCACGAGGCTGAGAACGTCAAGGACCGGCTGTGCAGCAAGAGGACGGGTGAGATGGGGGGGCTGGGGGGCTCTGCTGCTGCTCCCGGGGCCGTGGCTGCTCCCTCGGTGCTCGGTGAGCTGAGCTGAGCTGAGCTGAGCTGAGCTGAGCTGAGCTGAGCTGGGCTGAGCTGGGCTGAGCTGAGCTGAGCTGAGTTGGGCTGAGATGAGCTGAGCTGAGCTGAGATGAGCTGAGCTGAGCTGAGCTGAGCTGAGTTAGGCTGAGATGAGCTGAGCTGAGCTGAGCTGAGCTGAGATGCCAGCACAGAGCTGGGGCTGTTCCTGAGGGTCTTTGTTGCTGTCCCAGGGGGTCTCTCCTGCTGTTCCAGGGGTCTCTCCATCAGTGCTGGGGTAGGAGGAAATGCCAGCCCAGAGCAGAGGCTGTTCCTGGGGGTCTTTGCTGCTGTTCCTGGAGGTCTCTCCTGCTGTTCTGGGTCTTTCCTGCTGTCGCAGGGGTCTCTTCTGGGGGTCTCTCCTGCTCTGCCAGTGCTGGGATGGGATTTTCTGCCAGCCCAGGGCAGGGAGGAGTTCCAAGTTCTTCCCCAAATCCCAGCAGCCCACGGCAGCGCCGGCAGCCTGCTGGCACTGGGGTTGTTTTGGGATGCTGGGCCCGAGCCAGGGCAGCTGCTGTGCTGACTCTGTGGCCTCTCGTGGCGCATCCAATGGCCCTGTCCCATCCTGGGGCTATTTCCAGCTCACAAACAGCCAGGTCAAGGCACGCTGTGACCTTTGGGCCACTGCAGTCCCGGACGGGGCCCTGGACGGGGCCAGGGCAGGTCCCTTTGTACCTGGCACGGCCTTCAGGGCAATGCTCTGCCCAGGGGGATCCTGAGGGTCTGCACTGCTGCTCCTGGGGCTCCTGCAGCCTGGGGACAGCCACATTTGTCATTAACCACGGGACAAAGGCAGGGAAACGCCACTGGCCCCTGCTCAGGTCACAGCGGGGATCAGTCCTGGGAGGGGACAGGGAGCACGGAGTCCCACGGGGCTCTGATGTGTCCTGAGGGCCCCACAGGGCTGTAGTGTCCTGGGGGTCCCACAGGGGCCTGGTGCATCCTGGGGGTCCCACAAGGCTCTGATGTGTCCTGGGGGTCCCACAGGGGTCTGGTGCATCCTGGGGGTCCCACAAGGCTCTGATGTGTCCTGGGGGTCCCACAGGGCTGGCATAGCCTGGGGGTCTTGTGGGACCTCTGCATCCTGAGGGTCCCACAAGGCTCTGGTGTGTCCTGGGGGTCCCACAGGGTTCCACCACTGAGGGTCCCACAGGGCTGCCATGTTTTGGGGGTCTCGTGGGGGTCTGGGGCATCCTGAGGGTCCCCCATGGCTCTGCCACACCCCCATTGTCCCCCGCTGTCCCCACAGACCTGTGTGACCACGCGCTCCACATCCCACACGACGAGCTGTGACTGCCTCGGGAGCGGGGACCGGGACGGCACCGGGACGGCACCGGGACCCACGGGGATGTCCCCAGGACCCACGGGGACATCCCTGGGACCCACCGGGACGTCCCCAGAATCCACCAGGACATCCCCGGGACCCGGACAGGGCAGGACAGGTTCCACTGGGACGTCCCCAGGATCCACTGGGACAGCACCGGGACCCATGGGGACGTCCCCAAGACCCACCAGGATGTCCCCAGAACCCATGGGGATGTCCCCAGGACCCACCAGGGTGTCCCCAGAACCCACCGGGACATCCCCAGGATCCACCGGGACGTCCCCAGAATCCACTGGGACATCCCTAGAACCCACCAGGATGTCCCCAGGACCCATGGGGACGTCCCCAGGACCCACCGGGACCCACCAGGACATCCCCAGGACCCACCAGGACATCCCCAGGACAGACACATCTCCGGGACCTCCCCGGTTGCCTCCCCCCGTGCGGAGCTCCCGTCCTATTTATTCCCCATTCGGGGCCACCGGGACGGCCACGGGGCCAGGGCCACATCCCGGCTCCTTTTGGGACATTTCAGGGACATTCCTGCCCCGCTGCCGGGGGACACGGGGACACAGCGGGGCTCAGCCCCCGCGGGGTTGGGGGGTTTGGGGACCCCCCTGTGTTTTGCAGGCAATAAAGGGGCCATGGGCCCACCCGAGGGCAGCTCAGCGTGTGCGTGTGGGGTGGGGACAGCCGTGTCCCCACGGGTCCCCTGTGGGTCACACTCGTGGGGCAGGGATGGCAGTCAGCCCATGGCTCTGTGTCACCCTGTGTCACTCTGTGTCACCCACTGTGGGGGCACCATGGGGCTCCAGCCCCTCGGCTGGTGTCACCTGTGTCACCTCATGCCATCACCGTGGGGGTCCAGCCCCTCGGCTGGTGTCACCTGTGTCCCCTCATGCCATCACCGTGGGGGTCCAGCCCCTCGGTTGTGGCTGGCGTCACCTGTGTCCCCTCATGCCATCACCGTGGGGGGACAGCACCGGGACCCATGGGGACGTCCCCAAGACCCACCAGGATGTCCCCAGAACCCATGGGGATGTCCCCAGGACCCACCGGGGTGTCCCCAGAACCCACCAGGACATCCCCAGGATCCACCGGGACGTCCCCAGAATCCACTGGGACATCCCTAGAACCCACCAGGATGTCCCCAGGACCCACGGGGACGTCCCCAGGACCCACCGGGACCCACCAGGACATCCCCAGGACAGACACATCTCCGGGACCTCCCCGGTTGCCTCCCCCCGTGCGGAGCTCCCGTCCTATTTATTCCCCATTCGGGGCCACCGGGACGGCCACGGGGCCAGGGCCACGTCCCGGCTCCTTTTGGGACATTTCAGGGACATTCCTGCCCCGCTGCCGGGGGACACGGGGACACAGCGGGGCTCAGCCCCCGCGGGGTTGGGGGGTTTGGGGACCCCCCTGTGTTTTGCAGGCAATAAAGGGGCCGTGGGCCCACCCGAGGGCAGCTCAGCGTGTGCATGTGGGGTGGGGACAGCCGTGTCCCCACGGGTCCCCTGTGGGTCACACTCGTGGGGCAGGGATGGCAGTCAGCCCATGGCTCTGTGTCACCCTGTGTCACTCTGTGTCACCCTGTGTCACCCACTGTGGGGGCACCATGGGGCTCCAGCCCCTCGGCTGGTGTCACCTGTGTCCCCTCATGCCATCACCGTGGGGGTCCAGCCCCTCGGTTGTGGCTGGTGTCACCTGTGTCCCCTCATGCCATCACCGTGGGGGTGCTGGCGCTCAGCTGCCACCCTGTGTCATGCCACCCCTCCGCTGAGAGGGTTCTGGCCTCTCTGCCGTGGCCCGTGTCACCCCACGTCACCCGGCCAGGGGACAGGAGCGGCAGGAGGGCTCTGCCCCTCTCTGTCACCCCATGTCACTCCATCGTGTCACCTGTTGCGCCGGGGCCAGCAGGACAATGTCCTGGGCTCAGCGGGCACGGTGACGTGCCACCCCCTGACGTCACCGCTGAGCCTCACGCCGCATCCTCGCACCTCAAGCCACTGTGGCCACATACAGGATGACGTCATTGGCTCCCGTGACCTCATACCGCCTGGTGACGTCACGGGGCAGCCCCCCCGCCCCCACAGCCGAGCCCCACCGAGACACCGGCGCGGCCGCGGGGGTGACACCGGGCCGTGACGTCACGCACCGCGGCCTGTGACGTCACGAGGCGGGGCGGGCACCCCCTCACCCCACCCCTGGTCCTGATCAGGCGAACGCGGCGGCCACCTATAGCTTGCGCCCCCCGCCACTTCATTAGCGTGGCCCCGCCCCACGGCGCGCCTCTCGGCCAATAGCAAACGGCTCTGCCCCGGGAGGGGGCGGGGTTATGCTAATAACCAGCGCCGCGCTCCGCCCCGCCCTCACGTTGAGGACCCCCGGCCGCCGCCGCTCCGGCCCCGCTCCCGCCCCGGCCCCGCTCCCGGTCCCGGCCCCGCTCCCGGCCCCGGCCCCGGCCCCGTTCAGCCCCGGCCTGTCCCGTCCCGGTACCGCCATG